TCAGCCTGCGACCACAGTACAGGGTATACGAGTTCTTTCTACAGCCAGCCAGCACAGGTTGCGATGCAGATCATTAATAAGATGCTCTTATCGTGTTTACGCAAATGTGATGCCAGCTGTCAGCATACTCATAGCATTTGCTAACGTCTAATAGGCTAATGCTCGTGCCTTTTAATTGCTGTTTTCCATTTTTAGAGTGTCTCTTTGGCCGTGCCCCCTTTGCTTCTGCAACTGTGGATGAGCTGAAGGCCAAACTAATCGACAAGTCGCCGGTGGAGGTAAGTCTCCCCATACATGGTCTATTAACGCAGTGACCCGATAAGGTTGACACCTTGCAAACCGAGCACACATCTAGAGAGCATTACTTGGGTAACATCAAGGTTTGGCTCATAGGCTTGGAAGAAACTCGACTGTTTTCGTGTTTGAAGGACGCAGCTACGGGGAGCCGTATTTGGTATTGGACACTTAACGCCCTAAAACCAAACTCGTTAGTAGAACTTGCTGGTATTGCTTATCGCTTCCACTTGAAGGCCGTCCCTGTCTATCTTATTCTTCCTCTCCCCCTCCTTCTCACCGCCCCTTTTCCTCACTATGCTTTCAATTGCTCACCATATTTAAAAATACTACGTCCAAACGCACACAGTTAAAAAAGATTGATTCCGAAGTAGGAATTGTTCAACCTGACTTAAAGTTCGTTGTCTTAACTTGTAGTGTCTTTTTGAGCCCCTGATTCCAGTCTTGATTAATTTTTTCTGCACATGTCTTATTGGACTCAGTTGGTTTTGTTTATATTGCCTCTTTGTTTTGTCCCATTTTGCAATGCTCTTCAGGGACTTCCTTTTGGCTGGAGTAGTTGATTTTTGTAAAAATTCCTGATGGCTGCTGGCTAGTTGGCTGGCTGGCTAGTAGCCGTTGTTGGATCAGGAGCCCCGCCGGGTGAGCCTCAAGCCCGGCGGCGAGGAAGGGGAGTCGAAACAACATGGTCGTAAGAGGCTGCACCGTCATAAAAAACATAGATGGAGAGGAGGGGAGATAGATCCACCTTAGGGAAATTGGTGTAGCAGACCTTGGCCGCCGTGAGGGCGGGTGGGAACGCCGGAAGAGATGCGTCTGCTGTGGTTCCCCTGATGGCTGCTCCATGACCTTGACGGCATTCACCCCGACCGAGTTACTGAACTGCGGGCACAGTCTGATGATTCTCTCTTAGGTTGCTAATCGGAACACTCTTAGCGTCTTAC